GCGGGGGGAAGCGCCGCCGTCCGTCGGGGGGTTTGACGTCTAAAGGCGAGACCCTCGAAGAAATGCCAACCGATACCGGGTCACGTTAGAGACAAGGGGGCGAGGAGGAGGGATCCTACTGGACTAGTGCCTAAGGGTTTTTTGGGACTGAGCCCACCCAGTATTGTAATTAGTGACCTTGACACAGCGATTAGGATTTATGCCACTGAAGCTCACTGATAACAACGTTTGAAGACATTGACTCGTCGGAGCAGTACTGTAACTGCAGAGTAAGATGAGCTGATTGTACAAAAAAAGCGACTGGGAGGAAGTCTGGTATCAAGTCCCGGGTTACCGCTCGCGGGCGGATTCAGCTGACGTTTACTAATTAGAAACAGCTGAAGAGCTGGGCTCCTCGTATGGCAGCACTGCATGAAAATGTAAAATAGAATCTCATGATATGCGAGGAGGATGGTGCGTGGAGCACCACTGATAACGCTTTGAATGCGGTGTTACAATAGCAAGAAAGTTTCAATTGAGTCAGCATTACAGATGTGCAAACAGAATATCCCAGCTTACGCCAGGTGAATTTGATGCAGTTACTCTGCACGACTTCCCTCTAGTAACTAAGCACCACAATGAGAGAAGAAACTCTCACATTTGCTATCAAGAGCATGTGTATGGTAGCTGTTAGAATAGACAGCATACTAAGGTGCAGGTCCTAGTTGAAGGAAGCTATAGTGTGTACCTATATTCTCAAATATATATAAAAAAAATCCCCAGCTATTAGGATTACACCAGGAACAGTTAATCTTTCATACCAGAGAAGACTCCAAGAGCCGTTCTGAAGCAGAGAAACAGCCTGGCCATTGCCATGCTCAGGTCCCACCCCCATCTGTTTCCTTCTAGCAAACTTTTTTTTTGTGGTAAATACATGTTTTCCTTTTGGAAACTGAGGGGCATACTTTCCCTCATTGCATTGCTGTTGGTGTCACATATAAGAATGTTTCAAAGCAGCCCAAAATAAACAATGCACAAGTCATTTTGTGGTGTAGAGTAAGCAAACAATAATGTAAATAATAAATAACTTTATTAAAGAATTAGAGTTTCAGATGTTTCTACGTAGAACAATTTCTTTTGTATTACATTTTAGAACATTGTTTTGGATAACAAAGTAATCTGTAATGAGTATTAGCCTCTTTCCACTATAATTTAAAAACCAAAGTATACTTGTTTTGTTGACTACATATATGTATCATGTTTTTTTCAATTTCAGTAAAACATAGACAAAAATATAAGCTGTCAGATGAATACTATTTTCTGTTAAATAGCAGCATCTCAAATCAAAGATTTCTTCTGAAGTTATGACATGAAAAACTTTTCTGCTGTTTATTACTGGGAAATTTAAGTGACATACCTGGAAAATGCCTCCATGGCCTTACATTCTCAATGACATTAATTGCAAAATCAATGTTGTCTTCAGTGTATGGAAGATCAGGCCCTAGAGTTGTACTCTTACTTTTTAAGGAGAGTAAAAGCGTCCTTTAGATTCAGGGTTCTGGCAGACATCCAGCATGACTGTGGCATCACACTGTTTCAGCCTGTCCTTCCGTCAGAGGTTGCTACCCCCTTACCACCCCCTTACCTTGACTGCTCGTAGAATGGTTCAATAGCATAAACTTATTGCCGCTAGTATTTGCTCTAATTAATAGGAAGAGGCCATTGCATTAAACAAGCAAAGAAACAATTCTTTCCCTTGTCAGAGTTCAACAAAAGTACTTTTGATTATTTTTGCACAATAATAAACATAGAATTAAATTATCTGGGGAATCTGCAGAAAGATATGATTTAAAGGCCGTTTCCTTTTTAGCCAAACAAGTATTAATCTTAGCTTACTAAACCTATTTTATCATAGAAATAGTGCCCTTTTTTAAGGCTACACTATAATGTTTTAGCCTTGAAATACATGCTATAGTGCTAATGCTGTAACATTACAGTCTACAGAAATTATGTACGCTACAACACAGGGATCAATTCTGTGTAACAAAACAGCATAGGAACTTAACATTTCCAATAAAAAGACCTTTCCTGTTCTCAGTTGGCTTTCCTCTAGAACATCAGACTCTTAACCAAACAATAACGACAACGTCGAGGGAGATCAAGTGTTAGATTTAGGATCATTCTACATCCACTAAAACAGGACAAAAAAAGAATACAAACACATCTCATCTCAGCTGAGGGGGGAAATGGCTTCCTGTATGTAGGGCTCTTTTAGCTTTTTAGAACAGAAGAACTGGTGTAATCATTCATTATCCAGTTAAACTACTGCCTACTCAACCAATTTCTCCCACATATTTTTCTTATTAATAACTAATAGTTACAGCTGAGTTTCTTAGGACACAGTGGTATTATTACAAAATAATTAAAAGCATTATTACAGAATAATTAAAAGCTACTACAGAGAATTTTCAAGAATGAAAAATAATGGGCCACCTTCAAAGGAAACATACCAAGGATCAGAAATACAAAATTGACAGTCTAGGCACAGAAAATGAGATGCAAGTACAGCTTATGAACATAAGAACACTGATAAACTAAAATTTACTTGAAGTATTTGTCATTTCAGTATTCCTCGCACTTTTCTTCATGTTAAATCAAGGTGAATCTGGGGATTCTATAACAATTTAAAATATGATTTTAAAGATAGATAGATATATATATTGGCTATGGTGTATTCAAATTGCTATATCACCTAGAAAATTAGTAATTACTTTACCCACACAAAATAAAAAGAGAATTTACTTTCTGTGCAAGTTACAGAGTGTGGGAAAAAGTAGTTTCATTACCAGGCTTAATAAGAAGTCTGAGACTGGTGCAACTGTAGCACAAAAATCTTGCAAATCAAAGCATTATTTTTTTTTTTTTAAACAGAATTAGTGTGATAATCCTAAAGTGCTTTTAAGTGGAAAGTTGTTGGTTTTTTAATTTACTGAAACTAGATGGTTTAACCAAGGATCTGAAGTTTTAAACAACATTCAGCTGTCAAAAGATCAGAGTAGCAAGGCACACTAATACTTACTAAAACAAAAAACAGAGATTGGTCATATATATGTATACTTATATGAACATAAGCAATGCAGCACCATTATCTTCTCTGAAGAAATGGAAAGTTGTTGGTTTTTTAATTTACTGAAACTAGATGGTTTAACCAAGGATCTGAAGTTTTAAACAACATTCAGCTGTCAAAAGATCAGAGTAGCAAGGCACACTAATACTTACTAAAACAAAAAACAGAGATTGGTCATATATATGTATACTTATATGAACATAAGCAATGCAGCACCATTATCTTCTCTGAAGAAACTCCATTCAAATGGAGAATGGAAGCAATTTATTTTTTGCTGCTTTTGATGGGGACATGTGTTCCTTTCACATTGAGATTCTCCACAGAAACTCTGGGCTCCCTGGAACCCGCAACTGCAAGTGGTTTCTCTCTGAAACAAACAACAAAAATCACAACACCATACGATATGGGGGTGGGGGAATATACATTTTGTTAATTACTTATGTAGAGGTATAGTTATTTTAGTTGTAAAACAGATTTGACTCTCTCTCTCCAAAACTACTTCCATTGTTACCACCAGAGTTGGACTGTTTCCTCATGTTGCACACCCGATGAGAAGAAAGGAACAGCTTAGTTTGAAAACTGAAATTGAAGGTAAAGTAGCCTCCGTAATAAACCTCTAGAACTGAAGAGGTGCCAGAGGGAAAGCACTCTGTGTAGTTTACAGAAAAGGAGTGTTTCCCTTCTGTAGCATTCGCTACCAAACATGCAACTTCCACTGAAACAATGACGATGACAGGGGGGCGCAGAACCCAAAGCTTGGTAGATAGCCATCTATGCAGGGGAGCTCCTGCATTTACAGATAAAGTCCTTACTCCTACACAGACTTCCTGATTTTAGGATTAGAAGAGGTCTCATTTGAAATCTAACCCTGAAGAGAGGGGTGTCTCTGTCTCCAACTATATGGAAGGTGCCCTTCCTTTTACCCAAGAGAACAGATCAACCTAGCCCTCAATAAGGATTATACCTTAATGCAACTAACCCAGTTTAATGACACTGGGAGCAGCTACAACAGTTGTACATAGTTGAGCTACGAGCACTGGCATATTTCTCTAGAAAACACTCACCATTTTAGCCTATCAATACATTAAGTAATTTTCAAAGTCAAAAATACTGAATTTCTTCAAAATTGTTAACAAAATACTGCCTTAACACTGTTTATGGTGGCATCATGAGAAAAGGAGGAATAAAACATGCTATTTCTTCTCAGACTGCCAGTAAGCATTGTTTGTTCATTAACAGATTGCTTTAGAATTGGTTTTTCATTCTGCTGCTAGTATTTCCTTATTCTGGTAGGAAACGATTTGTACCTTCTTAATCCATCTTCCTTGGGTATGTGATGAATACTTCTGTATTTTGGAGCTTCTAAATTGCATCTAGTTCTAGATGGCTTGAACTTCATAATCTCTTTCTGCCACTCTTCATCAAAGGTCTGGGCCTCAGCTGAAAAACCAGTTAAAGTTTACTTTTATTTTTAATAAATGCAAGCAAGATAGGAAAAGACATGTAACGAAAATTAGGTTTTTTGAACAGTGTTTTTTAACCTTGTGGTCCATGACTCTCCACATGGCCTGCAAACTATTTCTAGGGGATCTGTAAAAAACAACTAAAAGCTTACTGCCAGTAGGCTTACATTTGGAAGATAAAAATAAAAAACCTGAAAGTTACTGTGTTGTAAAAGTATATGCACATTTTAACTACACATCTCTTAAATATGTATTTTCTATTAGTCACAAACAAACACAGAGCAAATAGCAAAATTCTGTTAAAACTTTGTTTGAAACCACAAAATATTGTTAGAAGTACTTTCAAATATGAGCAGCTATTGTACAAGCAAACAGTACCAACTGCATTAGAACACAACATTTTCAAGTCTAACTGGTTACTTTAACTTAGGTTGTCCAAATTTATATCAACTAAGAAAACTTGATTTGCAGACTTAACACTTTCTGAAAAACAGTCCCTTTTAAGAGGTCTCAAGCTGGAACTTCAAAATTGGTATGTGAAACAACAGTGTAAAGCCCATTAGAGAACTGCATAAAAAGACATACCCTCATCCAGGTTGATGAATTCTTGGTTCATTTCTTCATCACCAGTCTTGCTGTTCTTTGACTTTTTAATGACATGGGCACGATCATGAATATGATGACCAATAGCCATTTTTTCCAGTCCACTTTCAGAATCCTTAAGTGCTTTTCTTGTCTCCTTAACCTGTACAAAAAAGGGAAATAAGTGTCCTTCCAACCAAAAAAAAAAGTTAAAACATTTTTTTTTTAAAATCAAATTTTCTTTCCCAAAGTTTTTATATCTTATTTTTGAAAAAGTTAGGTTTTACAGGCTTTTCCAATTGTCTCATTTACTGTGCTGGCTGAAAATACACCAACAAAGCACAGGTGAAGTCCATTTTCTTTCTGCCAACAGACAGGAAGATTAAACAAGAACACCTAAAGCTTCTTAGGTAACATACATACTGGATATTCATTGTTGGAGGAGGGGGGGGAAGCCTAGTCTAAATATACTACATACAGACAAGTCTTCAACATTCTCCTGTTACTCTCCAACAGAACGAGTAACAGCCAATGCCAATATTCTCAGCACGAAGGGACAACTAATTACTAGGTTGTCATGTTGACTGGCTTGAAACCCAGGCAACCACTTATCACTGTGTTCATAGGTATATTATTAGAACCTTTTTGATAACTGAGTGTCTGTTTGAGCTTGAACATATCCCACAGCCAATCATGCTCAACGGCCTTTACTGCTCGCATATAGTCTTTCATGAACCTTGCTTCAGGGTTCAAATTCAAATTTCTTAGCAGAATTAGATGCAACAGCTGCAAGGAAGTCAATGAAAGGGCATCTTCATCTGAAGCGTTACGTAAGCATTTAAAAGTGCTTGAGTAAAAGGGATGATTTGAAGCCATGTTTTGCATAAATAGACTGCCTCTTGCCATCTTATATTTTAGACAGAATTTTAAATGTACAAGAAGAGGATTAATTATAGCAAAGAGAAAGACATTGGAGACAGCCTTGAAGAATCAGCTGTTCTGGCACTCAATTTTTCCAGTCTTTGATAGGCATACAATTTATTTGGAGGTATACTTAGAAGCATACAGATTACAAGGAAGAAAACAGCACTTTAGCTTAAGCAGCCTTTAAGATACAGCAATACTTAAACAGACATATATTTTTCTAAATTATAAGAGTAACTGTCTCCAGTAAAAAGAACCTGAAGGAAACTGTGGTTTGGTATAGATGAACTTAAATTCTGATAAATACATATCACCTTTTTGCTGCATCTCAGGACTACTTACACCTCCCGGAGCTGTGCGTGTCTGAGCTGAAGCTTGGAAAACTTTTGGTGGTTCATCCCCTATTTTGGAGTATGTCATCACAGAGGAGGAGCTGAATGTGTGTGCATCTGGATGGATGGATAGGTCATCCTACAAGCAATGTAGACTTCTTATTAAAAAAAGTTGAAACTTGTGGATAATAGGTACTTCTTACATTCCGAGACTATCTTATTATGAAAAAGAATACCTCTCTGAAAAATTAACCCTCAGTCCTGGCACCATAGATACGGCCTGTTGGGAAGAGACCTGGGCACTTGATATGCCTACCCTCTTGTCCTAGCCTTGTCTGGCCACAGGTCTCCCTGTGCCAGGAAACACAACAAGTAAAAAGCACGGGCAGCAATAAGCAACTGCTCAAACGTTTGCCCTGGCGTAGTTTAGTTTAGTAATGAAGATATAACCTATACCATCAGTCTTGCCACATACAGTATATAATAAGGTGTGTAAAGAGTTCAGGTGAAATAGGACTTGAGCAACAATGGTTATAAGCCATTTTACAAGGCCAGTAAAACACAGTAAATATACTCAGCAACACTTAATAGATATCAGTGTTATCTTCCAAGACTGTGAAGAAAGAAGAAAGAAGCAGCACTGAAAATAAAATCAGAAGAAAGTCTATATGCGGGGGGGGCATTTAGGTGCTTGCAGTTGTTTTGTGTTTAAGTGTACAGTAACACTTTAAACTGCTTCTTCACTTAAGGTGTCAGCTCTGGCAACAGCCAGACACCAGATAGCTTACAGCAGTTCTAACCCCTAGAGAATCAAGCACACATTTAAAGTACTGTTGTTAGCAAATAATCAGTGACAGCATAGAGAATTATAACCACGATATAGTAAGAATTTTTTTTCCCCCCCAGACGATCTGCTTGAGACTAGTAACCTTTTTCTTGGCAGGACTTTCTAAGTAATATTTTAAGCAACTGTCATTCTCCAATACAATGTTTTGGAACAAATTTTAAAAAAAACTTACAAATTTTCTTTGCATTTCCAGCATACTGTTTCTCATATTTGACATCATCCTGTCCATTGCAAAAAAAGGTTCCCCAAAATCTGCATCCTGCTAAAAGACATTAAAATTAAAACAGTCTTCTGACTCTTCAAGTTCTGAAGCTGGTTTTTTTACATGCACTTTTTAATGCGAATCAGACCATCAAAAAGGTTTTCACAGACTGCAATTCATAGACATAGACAAGCCAAAATGCATCTTTTCAAATGAAAAACTGAAAGCTAGCATGGGGAGCTTGATTGTTCAAGTTGGAGATACTGGAAAGACAGAAGTGAAAGATTTGACGCTCAAATGTCAAAATAAGCTCATATTGTGGCCAATTTACAAGAACTACTTTCACATACCTTCTAACCTAACTAGCTTCTGCTGTAAGAAGTACTATATGACCCTCCATGCCTTATAATCTATTGGAAGATCAAATTATCTCTCTTATGCAAATCCCTTAATGCATATGGAATCACAATGAAAGTGCATCCCAGCAGACACAGCTGTTCCTCTGCAGAAGTAGCGTACATCTGTCATAAAAGGGCAGTGTGGAAAAAATCAGAGAACCGTAACTTGGTATTTTAATGGCAGCTTAATTACTTGATGCTATAGATCTATTCAACAAAACATTCATTCATTATTTTTACATGAAAGCAGAAGATCCGGTGTTGCACAAAGGATAGATACTAAGACAGGTTTACATGCACAGAACTTTATTAATAGGATCTGTAGCTGATGGCATATACTGACCATACTGATGAAAGCTACCTTTGGAAGAAAACAAAACAAAAAAAGAGAGAGACAGGGAGACAGAAAGTAGGGAAAGGGTGAACTCTCCTAACTGACCATCTGGGAAGACAGCAATGCTGTCCCAAATGAGCATCCTCCTCTGGGCTCCTCTCCAGTGCAGCAGGTGGTGATGGTAAAAATTATTTTCACCATGCCTTTTCTCTCCCTACTATGAACTTTTCCTCAGGACCTGTTCAGACTCCCTGCTGGGCTGCCTGGTTTCTGACACGAGCAGCTCTGGCTGGAGTACTCTAGTTAAGAGCAAACACCATACTGGTTGGTTGGTGAGCTTTTAAACACACACACCCCTAGCTGTTTCCCAGGACAGGCGCTGCGCCACCACCATGCTCTGGTCCACAGGTGTGAGGCTGTGAGAAGAGCAGGGAAAACAGCTCCTGAGGGCTCTGCAAAACGCAGCAGCTTTGGCAAGAGGCAGGCTGATGGGTTGCACACAGCAGCCCTTCGCACTACTAAAGTGCTACAAAACACCAGGATGTTAATTACAATAGCAAACACCCCACATGCCTCCAACTACTCGAAACATATAGAATTAAATTTAAATAAATTCATTTAAATAGCTATGTATTTAAAAGTTTAAAAATAAAATCTGCAGTTTAAGCATAAAACTAAGTAAAATTCAAGTATAGAAAATCTTCAATTTGTTACTTGAGTAGCAAGAAATCTGAATCCTTAAGGGCTATCAAAACCTCTGGGCAATAATTATAGACAATTTACAGCATCAAATCATTGCAACTGTCAGTAACTCCAGAAAACTGCCTTTTACAGTTAGAAATCTGGACATTGAACCAATGACATTACATAGTTATCAGCTGTACCTATGGAATTACATGCCATAGATTGGGGTGGGGGGAGTAAAAGCATAACCTGTGCAGTTAATAGAAAAAGAACACTGGATAGCCAATACACTTTTTGCATACAGCAAGTTGCCAATTCGTGTTTCTGCAAAAGATAATTAAACAAGGAATAATTTAGATCTGAAAATTCAAAGACCCATGTTTATTTTTACCTGTTCTGCAAGTGAGAGCCACTCTTTAAGCTACCCGTTTTCAATCTGAAGACTCTTTAAAGCCTTCCAAAGGAAGCAAAAACGTCTGTGAGGGTCCTAACAATAAACTTGCTTTTCCTTGGGTGCTTTTTACAGATCTTTTACAAGATATTCCAGACCCCCGACAAACTACAACTGAAAAACATTCCAAGCGCAGTTCCAGTGGAAATTCTGCCTCCAGAAGCTGGCCTGTCTTAGCTGTGACCAGTGCTACAGGTCTTAGCGGTATCACACCCGCAAACACACTCCAAGCCACTAGCATCCGTCTACAGGCAGCACTCAAAGTTTGGAGTCTCTGTCCAGGGATTATTTCATTAATATCCATCAGAGATCAAGCACCAACAGATACATCGCTGAGTAGAAAAGCCAGCTGCTAAGTAGTAACCTTTCCAATCTTGGTATCAGCGTATTTAGTCTACCCTTGATTTTCATTTAATGAGGAGAAATAATAATAATAATAAAAAAATCTTTCTTGAATTCTATTGTTCCATATATCTAAACACCAACAAAAGCAGTTTGCAAGCACACTGAAACTAGCCTTTGTCCATGCTTTAGGTATGCAGACAGTATACACGTATTAGCAAGAGCTACAAGGATTATTGCTCCTGGGATACTAACCACTCTACCAAAGCCTGCAAAGGGCATGAGGGAGCAGCTTGTTGCCTGGAAGAAAAAGGACCAGTGTCTTTTAGTTATTGTACCTGTTATCAGACACAGCAGAAGTATCTAGTGCATTTTCATGTACTGCAGGTGATAGTAAACATTTCTGATCAAATAAAAAGTCACTCAAGAGGACGTTGGTAATTTATAGTGTGCTACGACAATATAATATGAAGTAGTCTCTGGCTATATAGAAGTAATATATTTATACTAATGGTATTGGAAAGTGATAGCTGTCACCACATTTAATAAGTCATATATGTATGTACTAGAAGCACTTAAACATTTGTATACCATAGCAACCTTTGTACTAAAATTATTTAAAACATGGCACAGTGCTTCAGACATCACCCACTTCTCTGAAAACACTTCATGCTAGTCATGCGATACAACCACTTCACTGAAAGTTGATTAAAATCAACAAATCAATAGTCCCCTTAATGTAAATTTATGTAATTAAATTTCAGAAGGTTGGCATACAATTTTAGAGCTTAAAAAATTAAGTGATACAGCTGACCTGTTCACAAGCACTCTTTATGTATTACAAGGGATTAATGTAAATAGATACTTCTTTAAAATATCCATACATTCCTTGCGATAAACAAAATGAAGTCTAACTTGTCAGCAGTTTCAAAGGTCATTGCAAAGAAGTTCTAAGTAAATCTATCATCATATACAGAACCACCCGAAGACAAATCCCCATGAGCAAATTATATTCTTCTGCAGTTGTATAAATAGACGTAGCTATAAACACCAGCAAATACAGTTCCTGTTTGACCAACTGATCTTGAATATCCCTATATGACAGGGCAATGAGATGCTGGAAAACAAATTGATGTTTCCAGGAAACCAAGATTGGAGAGTTATATAAAAGCCTACCTAAAGAAAGACTGGTTAGACAGAAGTACCAAACACTTCACAATAACTTTAAGTACCAAAGGAAGGAATTATCTGATTCTTGAATACCTTTATGAACTCTGTCAGATTGCAGTTCTGTCTAATATGTAGTGAGAGAATATTTTTTTTATATATATATATCAAGTGCAAAAGGATATCCTCAGAAATAATAAAGTTGTTAGTCATAAAAAGTTTATAGACTCTGTTTTATAATACATACTAAAAGCTGTTAAATAGTTGCCTAATATATAGGATAATCAGATATCCAAACAAAACCGAATGACAGTATCTCTTAAGATGTTTTACCCCATTCCTCCTGATCATATCCTTTCCTCCTCCTTCCCTCCCTCCAGAAGGCTAAAAACTGACACTGCAATCCTGCTTGAGAAAGGAAAAGCATTTTCAAATTTGAATGCTGTATTGACGCACATTGTGTTGTTGCAACAAATTCTGGCCCTTGTAAAGCAGTTTTAGGCATGCTCTAGTTTACTTAAAGATAGAATTACAATATCCGTAATCAGTATGGGTAATTTTAACAAAGCGTATTTCACATGGTAGTAAAGATATCCATCTTTTCCTACATAAAAATCTAATTAAGTGTTTGAATCATTTCTGGAGGGAAACCAGTAAAAGCAGTTTGAGACTACTACAAGGCTCAGATAATCAGTACTGAGTCTTCTGTGACATCTGACAACTCTTAGGTGAAACATGAGGAACACTAAAGAATACTGTAAAGATTTTAGCAGGTGTGGAATTCTTTCGTGCTTATGAAAATAATACAGCGCTCTTGCACCTTTAACTCCTTTCTGAAACCACAGATAAAGGTTTTCTATGCCTCACATTTATCCCTCACTGCCAAGAACAAGGTATACAAACCCCCAAGATATTAGGGTAAGGTTTGACATATTCTTTTTCTAAAGGAAAACGAAGTCTGATCTGGTTTTAGGCATCTACTGAACCAAGGCCTAAGAATCTGCTTCAGCAGAGGAAAGATCATGCCCTAATTAGATCCAGCAACATCTATATTTGAAACTAAGTGGCAATGTATGAGCAGGGAGGAAAGAATCTGACAGTTACCCTTTTGACTTGTAGGTGACAGTCCGTGTTTCAGCTATGTTTATTAAGCTCTAACTAGGTCTGAACAACCACCACCAAATCTGGCTGAGTTCCACAAGCCCTTGTAATCTGTTTTGTCTTCCAACTGTTTTTTTAAAATCAAATGTGATTCATTAAAGTAAGAGATCATTCAGCTGCAAAAATATTTAGCCTGTTGGAGGGAAAGGAACCAACTTCAAACGTATATCCTTTCTAAACACAGCAGTTAGATAAGGTTTAGCTACAGAAGCATAAGATATAATTGTCCTGCCTGCCCAGAGAGTTGAAGAGATACTTTATGTAAAACATAGATCATTGCCTCAGTTTCAGGTGGTAATTTACAGAAATACTAGATTTTGTATCAATTTCCCTGATCTTTAATTCTTACAGTCTTATATCTAGAGGAAACATTAAGAATCAGACCAAATACAGAATGTGAAGCCTTTATTCATAGTTGCAAAGTTGAAGCAGGGTTTAAAATATCTGTGTAGATACTATTTAGGTGGCTGAAACACAGGTTTGGCTTAAATCAAGCTTCAACATAAATAACTAGACACAAGATACTAAAGTGCAGAGTGAAGGCATTAACATATCAAGGTACCTTTTTAAGTCAAGTTAGCATAAAAAAAGGAACTAAGTGTTCAAAGAAGGCTCTGTCTTTGGACATTTGTAGTGCCTTTCTGCAATAGAAACATTTAATACATAACATTTATTAAACCAAACATTTGATAAATGTGTTTAGTTTGTTTCATTAAATACAAATTTGTTATTAGTCCTAACAGAAACAAGTTTGTAAGTGTTAAGTAATAAATGCTTGAACAATAGGCCATTAAGGAACCAAGAGAGATATTATTCACATTTTACTCAGCGACGAAACAATCTGACCAAGGTTGCAATAGCTGAGCCAGGCCTCTGTTTCCACTGGACCAAATTTAACAGAAATGGACATGTGAAGCCAACTATATTACCAGTAAATGTAAATTCCATGTAGCAATCCTTAGAGATTAAGAAAATACTTACTCTGCGATTTCCTCCTAAAGCAACCTGAGAGTCCTGGCGTGCTCTTCGATCTACTGTTCTCTCCCCGCCATCTGTTATACCGAGAAATGGATCTCGTCCAAAAGGATCAGAAAAGCTTCTCATCATCTGCCGCATATATTCATGGTGTGCAGCAAAAGGATCGCTGAAAAAGAGATATTCCACATAGAAAGTCATTGGATTTTATTCCAAGCTATGTAAAATGGCTCTGAAATTTTTAAAACTCAATTTTTAAAATCATTCCATATGGTTCTTTATTTTAATAGGACCCAACTAGGCAATCGCCTGTTCCTCACAAACTCTCACTTCTTTCACTTTTCTTCTCATCTTGCAGGTTGGTTGGGTGTTTTAGTTCTTTTATCTTCTCAGCTGCCTTCATTGCTCTCCTGTGCTCTTGGGTGTCTGTATTGCTTTTTCTCCAAAAATATTCCATCCTTTGCAGCCATCTTTCACTCCAGTTTATGTTTACTATCTGCCAGAAACTATAAAACTGACCTATATTTATCACTACTTCTACCTCCAACCCCCTGATATTAAAAGAATTATTTTTTCCCCCCTCTCCTTTTTTCACTTTCATCTTCCAAAGCTTAGCACAGTACTACTCACTGCACTCATCAGTGTCCCAATAGATTTCCCCCCCTCACCTCTCAAATTTATTTTGCTGGCCACTCCCATTCTACTTTTCATCTTCCTTGACCCACGTGCTCAAAAATGTATACCATCCTCTAAATTCAAGCCAGCTCCATCTCCTTTAGTCACCCACTACTGCATCTTTGCCTTCCTTTTCTCTGCTTAGGAAGAAAGTTTCTTACTGGCTTTTTGCTTTCCTGATAGTTTTCCCCCTCCTCTCTCCTCTTTCTAAACACTCAACCTCTGTTTCCAAAAACCTACAGAACCCCACCAGTAATTCCAAAGCATGGCTTGCAGGTAAAACATTGCTAAAGTTGCTCTCCATTATTACTTAATTCTTTGCATTCTCTGATTTGGCCAAGAACTAAAGATTTCAGATTTAGGCCAAAAGAGGAGCAAAATTTATTGTGCTTCTGACAAAAATAATATGATCAGTACTGTTGCCTGTGGTCCAAGGCTACAAATTATTATTTCACACAAAAAGCATACTTCATTTCCTCTCTTCATCACCAGTCTAATTTTTCCTTTTGCTACTCCGCTGAAAGCCACTTTATTAACGTTAACAGTCATTTCCCAGGTATGTTTACTTAGACTTAATAGCACCTCATCTTCCTCCCTATCAATTTCCTGGCACTCCCCAGACACCTCACACCCTCATTCTCTCCAGGGCACTGCAACCTTTCCCATCACATCTCATATGCCTCCACGAAGAATAGCTTCAGGTTGTTCCTCTGACTACTTCAATACCCAATCATCTCTTGAAAGTCTCCTGAACAGTTTTTCTATTCTCCCCACCCCTTATCTCCAGTCCCATGAAAACTAGTTTCCACACCACGTGGCCACTTTGATCTCTTCACTTTGTACTGTCTCTTCTTGTGTTGAAGTTGCATTTATTTTTTTTCTTCTTAAGTGAAAAATAAATAAGGTTACAAATATAACACTGGATTAATTTTCAAACAAAATTTTTTAACACAACAATATTCCTTTAAGCTACACACATACTTAACTCACTCCAGCGACCTTTACAGTTTAGAAGTAGTTTTGCCATTGTCATTAAGCAGACCCTAATCTACCCCACTCACGTGACGGCTAGCTTTAACTTCAGTCCTAATGTGATAAGCAGCATGCACACAGCACGTGTCCCCTCACTTTTCACAGGATGAAGAACAGATGGAAAAAGTCACTGCACAAGCCAAGATGAAGGACGCACACAAGCACTACCACGGTATACGCGTACTTCCATCAAATCTATTTTGACACCACAAACTTCAGATAGGTTTGGTTATCAAAACACAAATAAATATGAACTGTATTCCATCAGTAACTTATGCATAACAAAATTTCTTCCCAGTCCCTTACAGTTCAAAAGAAGTAGGACACTCATGTTATCTACAACACATCATAAGCAAAATAAGATTCCATAGATTTAATGTAGATAAGAAAAATTGGTTTAATTTAGTGTGTTTAACATGCTGTAATACATCTCACCTGACATAAAATAATGCTTCATACCTTGTGAAATTGTCCTTCTTGCCTTACTGCAATTTCTCTGGCACCTTCTCTTGGCCATTCACCCTCCACTACCTCTATTTGATACACTTAGACCTGCATCTAAAACTGTGGGGTTTTGTTGTTGCTTTTTAAAAAAATGAAAGGTCTATGAAACAATTTAGAAATACAGCTTCTTACTATCAGAGACAGGGAAGTAAGATATATACTGTGGAGTGATAGATTTAAGAACAAAAGTGAAGTCTCCCAATTCCCTAGGGACATTTTAGGGAGCCATTCATAAAAAGATCTAGTGTTGTCAAGCCTCAAAAGAAATACTACAATTTCAGTATGCTCTGGAGTAGGGCAAAAAACCACGGAAAGTCAACAGAGGCAAGGCTTCCAAGGAATTAAACCTACCACCTTGATGGCTCTGATGACTGAAACTCAAACTATAACTACAAAAGGAGTACATCACCCTCACAAAATATATATATATAAAAATATATATATAAGTATATTAATATAT